TTTTTATTTCATAGTGTCCACACGTCTGCTAGGCACTTCACAGAACATGCATTAAAAAGCTTTAATGCCACCTGATGTGCTGGGGTCCCACTGATTCTGCCCGTTCCACCAGCCTGGGTTTCCTCACCCTGTCCTAGCTGTGCCAGGCCCTCAAGCCTGGCTTTGAAGAGTTGAGGATCTGTATGATACATTTATCAGAGGAGTGAGGATATCACACATGCCAGGGAAACATGTCTGCACTCAGGAAAAATAAAAAGTATAGTTTTTAACTCATGTTAAGCTAAACAATGTTCAAATCATAGGTAGCCTTCAGTGAAAAAAATGTGGTATTTACATATAGTTATTAAGGTTAAGATTTTGTCACAGTTAGTTTTAGAAAAGAAGTCACAGACAGGCCGCGGGCTTCCATGAATTTTTGTTTATTGCCCACAACCTGTCCGTGACTTTTACTAAAAATAATGAAGTGGGTGAGTGCGGTGGGCTGTCCGCTGGGGGCAACTGACAGCAAAGGAACGAGCTGCAGGAATAAAAAGATAATGCAGGGAGAAGTCCAGCAACAGAATTGGGGCTATCCAATTTATTGCACCCAATGCAGCACGTATGATTACGTGCCCTATGGGCAGGTGGCATATGTGTGTATTTGGTGCCAGGAGCTCCTGGCCCTCAGATACCGTTCACGGGCTTTGGAGACCAGAGTGGCTGAACTGGAGGAGCTAAGAGAAACAGAGAGGTACATAGATGAGACTTGGACAGAGTAGAACAGTCTCTCCCCTGGTCTGACAGCCTCTGTACTGTTGAGGAGAATAAAAGTTTCAGGGAATTAGAATATCCAACTGGAACAGAGAGAAATGATCACATAGTTGGGACCCTCGTTCCAGATGATGTTGTGGTATCCTCTTACACTAAGGATACGCCTCCAGGAGAGGGAATTCCAGTTATTAGGAAGAGACAGGTATTAGTAATGGGCAACTTGATCATTAGAAACATAGACAGCAGGGTTTGCGATGACCAGGAGAACCGCATGGTGACTTGCCTGCCTGGTGCAAAGGTTGCTGATTTCTCCAGACATCTAGATAGACTTATGTATAGCGCTAAGGAGGAGCCAGTGGTCATGGTACAGCTAGGTAACAATGACATAGGGAAGGATAGGAGAGAGGTCCTGGAAGCCAAATTTAGGCTGCTAGGTAAGAGATTAAAGTCCAGGACCTCCATGGTAGCATTCTCTGAAATGCTTCAAGTTCCATGCGCAGGGACAGTTAGACAGACAGAACCGCAGGATCTCAATGCGTGGATGAGACTATGGTGTAGAGAGGAGGGGTTTAGATTTATTAGTAACTGGGGAAACTTTGGGGAAAGGGGGAGCATATATAGGAAGGATGGGCTCCACCTAAATCAAAATGGAACCAGATTGCTGGCACTTAAATTTAAAAAGGTTGTAATTTTTAAACTAAGGGCTGGGAAAAGCTGACAGGTGCAGAGGAAAACGTGGTTCAAACAGAGACATCCCTTAGGGGAGGATCTATTAATGGAGATTCTCTATGTCCTATCAAGGAGGAAAGGATGGAAGATAATAAAATACAGGTATGATCTGATGAGAAACAGTCAAATGAAAAAAAGTCCCATTCAATTACATCAGCTAAAAAGTGAAAAGTTTTTAAAAGTGCTTGTATTCAAATGCTAGAAGTCTAAATAATAAGATGGGTGAATAAGAGTGCCTCCTATTAAATGAGGATATTGATATAATAGGTATCACAGAAACTTGGTGGAATGAGGATAATCAATGGGATACAGTAATACCAGGGTACAAAATATATTGGAAGAACAGAACAGGTCATACTGGTGGGGGAGTAGCACTATATGTGAAAGAAAGCATAGAATCAAATGAGGTAAAAATCTTAAATGAACCAAACTGTACCACAGAATCTCTATGGATAGTAATTCTGTGCTCTAATAATAGGACTATAGCAGTAGGGATGTATTATCCACCACCTGACCAGGATGGTGATAGTGATTGTGAAATGCTCAGGGAGATTAGAGAGGCTATTAAAATAAAAAACTCAATAATAATGGGGGATTTCAACTATCCCCATACTGACTGGGTACGTCGCCTCAGGACGGGATGCAGAAATAAAGTTTCTTTACACCTTAAAAGACTGCTTCTCGGAGCAGCTAGTCCTGGAACCCACAAGAGGAGAGGCAATTCTTGATTTAGTCCTAAGTAGAGCACAGGATCTGGTCCAGGAGGTAAATATAGCTGGACTGCTTGGTAATAGTAACCATACTATAATTAAATGTAACATCCCTGTGGCAGGGAAAACACCACAGCAGCCCAACACTGCAGCATTTAATTTCAGGAATGGGGACTACACAAAAATGAGGATGTTAAACAGAAATTAAAAGGAACAGTGAAAAAAGTGAAATCCCTACTAGCTGCATGGAAACTTTTTAAAGACACCGTAATAGAGGGTCAACTTAAATGTATACCTCAAATTAAAAAACATAGTAAGAGAACCAAAAAAGTGCCACGTGGCTAAACAACAAAGTAATAGAAGCAGTGAGAGACAAAAAGGTATTCTTTAAAAAGTGGAAGTTAAATCCTAGTGAGGAAAATAGAAAGAAGCATAAACTCTGGCAAATGAAGTGTAAAAATATAAGTAGGAAGGCCAAAAAAGAATTTGAAGAACAGCTAGCCAAAGACTCAAAGTAATAGCAATTTTTTTTTAAAGTACATCAGAAGCCTGCTGAACAACCAGTGGGCCCACTGGACAATGGAGATGCTAAAGGAGCACTCAAGGACGATAAGGCCATTGCGGAGAAACTAAATGAATTCTTTGCATTGGTCTTCACGGCTGAGGATGTGAGAGAGATTCCCAAACCTGAGCCGTTCTTTTTAGGTGACAAATCTGAGGAACTGCCCCAGATTGAGGTGTCATTGGAGAAGGTTTTGGAACAAATTGATAAAGTAATAAGTCACCAGGACCAGATGGTACTCACCCAAGAGTTCTGAAGAAACTCAAATGTGAAATTACAGAACTACTAACTGTAGTCTGTAACCTACCATTTAAATCAGCTTCTGTACCAAATGACTGGAGGATAGCTAATGTGATGCCAATTTTTAAAACGGGCTCCAGAGGTGATCCCGGCAATTATAGGCTGGTAAACCTCACTTCAGTACCAGGCAAACTGGTTGAAACTATAGTAAAGAACAAAATTTTCAGACACATAAATGAACATAATTTGTTGGGGAAGAGTCAACATGGTTTTTGTAAAGGGAAATCATGCCTCACCAATCTACTAGAATTCTCTGAGGGAGTCAACAAGTATGTGGACAAGGGGGATCCAGTGGATATAGTGTACTTAGATTTTCAGAAAGCCTTTGACAAGGTACCTCACCAAAGACTCTTAAGCAAAGTAAGCTGTCATAGGATACGATGGAAGGTCCTCTCATGGACTGGCAACTAAAAGATAGGAAACAAAGGGTAAAGATAGGAAACAAAGGGTAGGAATAAATAGTCAGTTCTCAGAATGGAGAGAGGTAAATAGTGGTGTCCCTCAGGGGTCCGTACTGGGACCAGTCCTATTCAACATATTCATAAATGATCTGGAAAAAGGGGTAAACAGTGAGATGGCAACAACATCTGAGAAGGGGGTAAACAGTGAGATGGCAAAATTTGCAGATGATACAAAACTACTCAAGATAGTTAAGTCCCAACCAGACTGTGAAGAGTTACAAAAGGCTCTCTCAAAACTGGGTGACTGGGCAATAAAATAGCAGATGAAATTTAATGTTGATAAATGCAAAGTAATGCATATTAGAAAGCATAATCCCAATGATACATACAAAAAGGTTGGGGTCTAAATTAGCTGTTACCATTCAACAAAGAGATCTTGGAGTCATTGTGGATAGTTCTCTGAAAACTTCCACTCAATGTGCAGCGGCAGTCAAAAAAGCGAACAGAATGCTGGGAATAATTAAGAAAGGGATAGATAAATAGATAGATAGGTCAAAAGATATTGTGTTGCCTCTATATAAAGCCACATCTTGAATACTGTGTGCAGAGGTGGTTGCCCCATCTCAAAAAGATATATTGGAATTGGAAAAGGTTCAGAAAAGGGCAACAAAAATGATTAAGGGTATGGAACGGCTTCCGTATGAGGAGAGATTAATAAAACTGGAACTTTTCAGATTGGAAAAGAGACGGCTAAGGGGAGATATGATTGAGGTCTCTAAAATCATGACTGGTGTAGAAAAAGTAGATAAGGAAGTGTTGTTTACTCCTTATCATAATACAAGAACTGGAAGTCACCAAATGAAATTAATAGGCAGCAGGTTTAAAACAAATAAAAGGAAATATTTCTACACACAATGCACAGTCAACCTGTGGAACTCTTTGCCAGAGGATGTTGTGAGGGCCAAGACTATAACAGGGTTCAAAAAAGAACTAGATAAATTCATGGAGGAAAGGTCCATCAATGGCTATTCGCCAGGATGGGCAGGGACGGTGTCCCTAGCCTCTGTTTGCCAGAGAGTGGGAATGAGCAACAGGGGATGGATCACTTGATGATTCCCTGATCTGTCCATTCCCCCGGCGCCCCCGTGGCACCGGCCACTTTCAGAAGACGGGATACTGGGCTAGATGGACCTTTGGTCTGACCCCAACAGTAGGGCTGTTCTTGTGTTATGCCCTTTCCAGGTCCATCAGTAATCTCCACGCATGGGGCTTAATTAAGCAAAAACTCCCCCTCCCAACTCTGCAACCAGAGGTAGAACGGCAGGGGAGGCAGAGCCACCCTTGGCCTATTATACCCGCAACCCAGGGCTGGTGGATTCTTACTTATGTGGCTCCAGAGGCTCAGGCCGCCCCACAGAGATAGTGGTTGTAGCCCCAGCCAGGGAGCCTCCATACGAGAGCATGGGGGCGCCTGAGTGCGCTGGGCTGGGGACTCCCGGGGCTCCGCTGCCCCTGCTCCGCCAGGGGGCGTCCCGCCCCGGCTGCTGCTCGGCTGCCGCCGGGGTAGCGGCTGGGGGCGAGAGAGCCGCTGAGCTCGGCCGGGCCGGCTTGCGGGGAGTCGCTGATCCGCCCCCCCGGCCTGGCGGCTCCCGCTCCCTGCGGGCCCAGGGCCAGGCGGGGCGTCCCGGCTGGGGAAGAGCCCGACGCGCCGCGTCCCGCCCCCCGGTGCCACCGCCTCAAAGCTCCGGCGTGCGAGCGCTTCTCTCCGCGCCCCGCTGCCCCCGGGGAGCTTCTCCGGGGCCTGCGGCTGCCCTAGCACCGCCCCAGCCCGCCCGCTGCACTGACCAGCCCGCCCCTGCTGCTGAGCGCAGCCCGCTGTACTCCCAGCCATGCCGGGCCCTCTCGCCCCGCACGTGTCCCGAGTGCGGGCTCTGTACCGGCGGATCCTGCTGCTGCACCGGGCGCTGCCGCTGGAGCTGAAGGCGCTGGGCGATGAGTACGTGAAGGAGGAGTTCCGGAGGCACCGCTCGGTCGGGCCTGCTGATGCCCAGCGCTTCCTGCGGGAATGGGAGGCAAGTGCCCTAGGACAAGCCTCACCCCCCCCCCCCCGCCGCTGCTGGGGGGGCTGCGGGCCACCCAGCTCCTCCCTCACCTCGGTGTTGCCTTCGGGCCCTGCCTCGGCTAATCCGTCAGCTCGCAGCCTGGGGCTAAGGCCGGGGATGGGGAGTTAGGAGATCTGGGCTGTGCGCTGACTTACTGCGTGGCGTGACCTGGCCTGGGGGAGTCTCTAGGCCCAATATTTTCAAAAGTAGCTGCTGAGCACCTGCAGCTCCCAGTGACCTCATTGTAGAAAATTTAGGGCTTAATTTCTCTCCGCCTCAGGCCTTCCCTGCATAGTTTGGAAGCTGTGATGTTTAGACACCTCTGCAAAGTACCCTGAGAACTGCAGATTTTTTTTTTAAAAAGCTTATAAGTGTAACCTATTTATTATTGTATACTAACCTCTAACAACCTCAGCACAAAGTTAAGGGATACCCATGATAATAGGCTTCTCTCTGCGTGGCACCAGACTGGTAGAACTCTCATAGCGCTTAAGGTTTTGGCTGGGGTGGGGGGGAGTAGTAGCAGACCTCCTACTAACTGTCATGTCCCTCTCTCTCCCCCCCCCCCCCCAATTTTCCATTCAGTTTACCCTTCACCACAAGATGCTCTCACTGGCCAGTTCTCCAGCTGTCTCCCAGATCCCAACAATGCCTTGTCAGGTATTCTCTTGTATGCCTAACCTTTCCAATTAGCTAGATCTGAGACTGTGCTGTAAATATTAGAGGTCCGTGCCTTGGGCATTTTGGCACTCTACTCCAATATTGGCATCTGGACACACTGGGGGCTTTAGTGTTTGAAGTTGGTGGTACGGAGCTCTGGTTCATTGTGTGAAGCAGAGCCTCTGTAGAAAAGGCCAAGGCATGAAACACCAAGAGAGGTCTAACAGCTTCTCAAAGCCCATGACTCCTGGCAGCTTGAGTATGTAGGTCTCTGGGCATCCTTATGCATTCATGAGCTCAAAGCGGGCATGGGGCAGAGTTTCCTGATATTGGTATGTGTAGTGGTCTGTCACAATTATTCTTAGTCCTAGCACGTCTGCCACAAAACCCATAGTACCTTTGAGGCATTCCTCTGACCTTGCATTGGCAGAGGTAGGATCTCTTGATGCATTGGAGTGTTTTTTGTGCTAAGGCTGATGCTCATGCAGCAAGAGTCTGTTTTTCCCAGGTAGGAAGTCTTGACAATGATGATCTAGCACCTCTTACGCTATGGATTTCACAAAGCAGATAAGATGCTTAGAACCCCTCCATCACCTAGACAGTTCCAGCTGTGTAAATGAGGGCAGACTGAGTATCAGGGTGATAAAGGCTGTTCTTTGGACTCAGGTGAGCAAGAGGACTAGTTTTATGCCAAATAATTTCTGCGGTAGAGGAACACACCAATGCCTACAAGAGAGGAGCCCAACTTTCTCCAGTTCTTATAGAAGCTGACTAAACAAATGCATTTTAATTGAAACTGGTCCAAAAATTTGCTAAGTCCCCAGTTGAAGTACGTAGCCCAGGATACTCTTGCATCTTATTTTGGACCAGCAACTGAAGAAGGTGTAGCAGACCTCTCATGCAACTGACCAAGCCTGGAAGACAGCCAATGAAAAAAATATTTTCTTTGTGAGGGTGATCCCAGCTATCTAACTGTCTGGAGTGACTCAAGAGCAAGAGTACCAACCTCAGGGCAGCACCAACCCCCCAAATTGGTCATGAGTTCTATACTTAGATGTCACCAACCAATTATCAAGTATAAACTCTGAGGCACTACAAGAGCCTTAACACAGGGTCACAGACAGTTCTCTTGGGTACTCTCTCTGTGTTACCACCCGGATAAGCCTACCTTTGTGCTAGATGGTACGTTACATCAAGAGTCACAGCAATATTCAGGTTACTTGTAGTCCCAAAGGACCAGTCACTTACCTTGGGTCAGTTGCACCTTAGAGCTCACACCAAAGACCATGCTTGTAGCCAATCCTAAACTAGCTAAAGATTTATTAAATAGGAAAAGGAAACAGAGTTATTTACAAGGTTAAATCAGGTAAACATAGGTAGAGAAATAAGCTACAATCTTAAATTTCAAAAGGTAATAGTAGATTCTCTAATAAGCAAGCTCTGTATGTCCTTTAGGGCTAATCTAGGCTAAACTGCAGGGGATCACTGGCTTATGTTTAGGAACCTTGCCTCCAGGTTCCAAGCAGCAATGAGAAACAGTTCCTTCTTGTTACAGGTTTTTATTCACTTCTCCCCTTGCGCTCTGAGCTGCAAACTCATCTAATGGGAGGAATTCACTTGCATGACTCATCTTGCATCTCATGGCAGAGAGCAATCAGCAAAGTCTTTTGTCCTCTTTAATGCTCCATAGTAGTTTGTTTGGAGTTGATGGGCCTTCCCTGTTGAGCAGGACATAACACCTTCTGTTGGAGACCAGCATTTCACACTAGTTAATGTCCCTCTCCTGTCTAGTGATTTACACAGTTACTGAGGCTTACAATACAAATGCTTAAATATTATTGTGTAATATGGGATACATATTATAAGTGAGAATGCATGCAGCAACTCACAAGCATTCAATAAAATCTAACACATTCTTATAATTCTAATATCTATTATAACAATACTATTACACAGGTGAGCCAGACTGATTCCAGTTATGGATATGTCGGTGTTCAATTGAGACATGGGGATCTTGGCATGAGCTGGTACCTGGTCTGTCAGCATCATACCCTCTACAGCTCTCACCCTCCTTATGTGAGTTTTGTGGAGTCAGCCATGGATAGAAGGAAGACTGTTTGTATTGATCCTGAGTATATTTAGAGGAAGGGTTTACAAGATCAGAACACCCATCTCAGTCTGAATCAATCAGTGATATAGTCTCACAGGTGGTAGGAGAGGAGGGAGTGGTGGATTAGGCCTTCTTCTGGAGGAGGACACCTTTCTCTTTGCCTTTCACTGGAAGAAAAAGCTAGTGGTTTGCTCATGGCATCAAGAAAAGACAATGTTAGCTAAAGATATTTTCTCCACCAGCTGGGGAAGGGATGCTGCTGTACTTTTCAACAGCCTACCTCTAGTAGCAAAGGATGTATTAAAGCTTATGAGACACAAAGGTTTAATGATTCTAATAGTCCCATATTGGTCTGATCAGGTTCAGAATCTGGCCTCAGTAGTCATTCAGAACTAGTACTTCTCTATCAACCTAAGAGCCATCTCTCTGACATCTTGTTCCTTTTAGGTTAGAGATCTTCAGGTATGGTATCTCTGAGCAGGTGATTTGGTCCTCCTGGCATTTCAGAAGCCATCTACAAAAAGGAGCTACAACTCCAAGTGGATAATTAAGAGTCCTCTCCAAGGTGGTCTTGAAGTTTCCACAATAGTGAGTCTGTCCTCTTGTCAATGCTCTTTTCATGACAAAGGAGGCCCTTCCTCATGAGTTTGGTTTAAAAGGGTCTTGGAATAGACCAAAACATTTAGACAGTCCATTTAACTTGTTGTTTCTTTTGTCACCAGTTCACTGGGCATGGCTGTTACTAGAGGACTATACCTGAATGAATATCTGATTGCATTTCACATTGCTAGGGACTGGCTGACCTGAAACTAGAAAGTTATGTCAATGTTCGCGCAATTCAGATGAACGCTGACCATAACCTACCTTCATGGATGTTTTCATCAGACATATGTAAAGTAGCTGCATGGTTTTCTCTCCATATGTTCACAAAGCATTATTGCATAGGCTCCTCATCCAGGAGGAAATCCTGTTTTGGATTCTTGCATTTCCAAGGTGGAGAAGGCCAAACTCTTTTACCTGGAGAAGTTTTTTTTTTTTAATGTCAAGATATCCCAAATTTTCATTTGTCTCACTTGTGTGGGTTTGTCTTTCTGATAATTATTTCTTTCAGCAGACTTCAATGTTATGTCCAATTACTTGATTTGTAAGAGGTCACTTGCTGCTCCTTATACTGTTTAATGCTGGACGTAATAAAAGAAGATCTCAGTTAATGCTTTTGTCACTAACCTTGTTATTGCCACTTGTTTTAATGTCTGTCTCTCTTTTTGGACATTTTTCAGTCTTTCTTTCCTGAAGTGAGAGTCCTGCACAGATGCTCTCATTAGACAGGGAAAAATACGTAATTTATAATTCTACTTCTCTAAAAGATCCTTTTTCAGGATTCTCGTTCACCTGCCCGGTTCCTGTAAGAGTCTGGAGGTTAACTTTTAACTTTTTTTAAAGACCATTTTCTCTTACACCTTGTTTTTCATTTTTGTCTGAGGTGCACTTTTTTTATTTGTAATCTCACATTGATCATCCTGAATGGTTTTTTCTTTCTCTTAGCTTCATGTCCTGCTCAATATAAGAACGGAATAATCAGAAGGCAGCACTTTTAGAGTCAGCAGTAGAGCCATGGAATGGCTAACGGGGGACCTGACTTGCATTTTTTATCTCACTATTGCTGACCTTAAGGGTCAAAAAACCTTGAGAGTAAGAACAGTTCCATCAGCTTTTCAGTAAGGAGTCACAGCTTGGGAGTGAGAATCCTACAAGATATCCTTTTCAGAATTAAAAAGTAAATGATTTTCTGATTTTCATTTCCCCATACCAGCTGATAGAGCTTGAAAACTGAAAATCTTGGTCATACCTCTCAAACAGCCCATGCTACCATGGATTTTATTTGGTAGTGAATTCTATAATTAAAGCTGTAAAACAGTTTCCTCTCATAGCTGCCTGTAGTGTACAACTTTGCGGTTTAAATTTTCCATGTTTGGTTCTTTTCCAAAAGTGACTTGGAATTTTTTTTTAACAAAATTCCTTTTAGTCCCATTGGAGTTGTAAAAATACATGGTTTTTCAGCAAAAAACCTGAATTTCAAAACCTGAAACTTAGGATGATCTTTAATGAGCACTAATGGTTTTGCAAGGCATGGGGGTGGGAACGGGAAATTGCTTTAGATTTAATAGTGTCTGTTTGAAAATGGCATAGTGCACACTTCAAGAGGGATGCATTATATGGACAATTTGAAAAGATACCAAGGAAGATTCAGGCTTTGCCAAGCTGTTCATGTGGATCCTTTTACCTATATCTCAGTCTTCTTATTTCCCCCCCAAATTGTGTCAGTCTGAAGGTGTGATAACTAAAAATCTCACATTTATTTCACAGAGTTAAGGGACTTTTTGCACCTTAGAATGTGCTAGGACTCCCAGAGCCTTGGAATCATGAAATAGATAATTGGACAACAGGCCCCAAAGCATTTCTTCATCATTCTCTTCCCTTGCTGGGAAACAGGTTCTCAGGCCAGTGTTATCTCTTTTTTTTTTCTTTTTTTTTTTTATTCCAGTGGGATATAGGGCATCAGTCTATCCCTTGGCTGGAGGGAATAGCCCATTCAATACTAATTTCGTGGAGGCTCTAGATTAGTTCTTGAACATCCTGCAATAGTGCATCTATGAAGTGCATGTATATGGCACACTTAAAGAAGTGTGCACTAGTGGTACTAGCATATTGCTTATTACAGCTGTGCTTCTAGAAATTCTGCGTGCACCCAGCTTCTTTTCTTTTCTATTTTTTCTTTAAAAAACATCTAGAGGCATTTTTAAAACTAACAAAATCATCCAAAGCACAAGACTTGGTGGTCATGGTAGACTTCAACTACCCAGACACCTGTTGGAGAAAATAATACCGCAGGGCACAAATTATCCAACAAATTATTGGAATGTACTGGAGACAATTTTTTATTTCTGAAGCTGGAGAAAGCTATTGGAGAGAGGCTGTTCTAGATTTGATTTTAACAAATAGGGAGGAACTGGTTGAGAATTTGAAAGTGAAAGGCAGCTTCGATGAAAGCGATCATGAAATGATGGAGTTCATGATTCTAAGGAAAGGTAGGAAGGATAATGGCACAAGAAAGATAATGGATTTCAAGAAAGCAGACTTTAGCAACCTCAGGGAGTTAGTAGGTAAGATCCCATGGGAAGCAAATCTAAGGGGAAAAACAGTTCAAGAAAGTTGGCAGTTTTTTAAAGAGACATTATTAAGGGCACAAGAGTAAACTAGCCCATTGCGTGGGAAAGATTGGAAGTATGGCAAAAGACCACACTGTCTTAACCAGGAGATCTTTCAATGATCAGAAACTCAAAAAAGAGTCCTACAAAAAGTGGAAACTAGGTCAAATTACAAAGGATTAATATAAACAAATAACACAAATATGTAGGGACAAAATTAGAAAAGCCAAGGCACAAAATGAGTTTAAACTAGCTAGAGACATAAGGGTAACAAGAAAACATTCTACAAATACATTAGATGCCAGAGGAAGACAAAGGACAGGATAGGCCAATTACTCAATGGGGGAGGAGATTGGGGGGGGGCACGGGACGGGACAACAGAAAATGTGGAAATGGCAGATGCGTTAAATGACTTTTGTTTCAGTTTTCACTGAAAAGGTTAGTAGCAACTGGACATCTATAATAAAGTGAATGCCAGTGAAAATGCAATAGGATCAGAGGCCAAAATAGGGAAAGAACAAGTTAAAAATTACTTAAGCAAGTTAGATGTCTTCAGGTCACCAGGACCTGATGAAATACATCCTAGAATGCTCAAGGAGTTGACTGAAGAGGTATCTGGGCCATTAGGGAATATCTTCAAAAAGTCATGGAAGACAGGAGAGGACTGGAAAAAGGCAAATATAGTGCCCATCTATACAAAGAGAAATAAGGACAACCTGGGAAATTGGACCAGTCAGCTTAGCTTCAGTAATTTCCAGAAAGATAATGGAGTAAATAATTAAACAATCAATTTGCAAACACCTAAAAGATAACAAGTTGGTAAGTAACAGAACAAATCATGTCAAACTGAACTAATGGGTTTTTTTGACAGGATAACATGCTTTGTGGATGCGGGGGGCGGGGGAAGAGGGGGAGATGTGGTATATCTTGACTCTCGTAAGGCTTTTGATACTGTCTTGTATGACCTTCTCATAAACAAACTAGGGAAATACAGCCTAGATGGAGCTACTCTAAGGTGGGTGCGTAACTGGTTGGAAAATCATTCCCAGAGAGTAGTTATCAGTGGGTCACAGTCAAGCTGGAAGGGCATATCGAGTGGTGTCCTGCAGGGATCAGTTCTGGGCCCAATTCTGTTCAATATCTTCATCAGTGATTTAGATAATGGCATAGAGAGTACACTTATAAAGTTTGTGGGCGATACCAAGCTGGGAGGGGTTGCAAGTGCTTTGGTGGATAGGATTAAAAATCAAAATTATCTGGAAAACTGGAGAAACGGTCTGAAGAAAATAGGACAAAAGTCAATAAGGACAAAATGCAAAGTACTCTATTTAGGAAGGAACAAATAGTTGCACACATACAGAATGGGAATGACTGCTTCGGGTGGATTACTGCAGAAAGGGACCTGGGGGTCAGAGTGCATCACAAGTTAAATATGATTCAACAGCGTAATGTTGTTGCAAAAAAAGCTAACATTCTGGGATGTATTAGCAGGAGTATTGTAAGCAAGACACGAGAAGTAATTCTTTTGCTGTACTCCACACTGATTTATACCGCAGATGGAGTATTGTGTCTACTTCTGGGTACCACATTTCAGGAAGGATGTGGACAAATTGGAGAAAGTCCAGAGAAGAGCAACAAAAATGATTAAAGGTCTAGAAAACATGACCTATGAGGGAAGATTGAAAAAATTGGGTTTGTTTGGTTTGGAGAAGAGAAGACTAAGGGGAGACATATCAGTTTTCAAGTACATAAAAGGTTGTTAGAAGGAGAAGAAAAACATTCTCTTTAACCTCTTGAGTATAGGACAAGAAGCAATAGGCTTAAATTGTAGCAACGGCAGTTTAGGCTGGACATTAGGAAAAACTTCTTAACTGTTAGGGTGGTTAAGCACTGGAATAAATAGTCCAGGGAGGTTGTGGAATCTCCATTGCAGTTTTTTAAGAGCAGGTTAGACAAACACCTGTCAGGAATAGTTTAGAGTACTTAGTCCTGCCGTGAGTGCAGGGGACTGGACTAGATGACCTCTTGAGGTCCTTTGCAGGCCTACGATTCTATTAAATGCTAGATAGTGTGTCAAAGCAACTTTGAAGTTTCACAATTAAAATGACGTAATAGTTAAATTTCTTACAGTAACATTAACTTGGCATGTTGCATATGTGAAGTATTTTTATTCCTGATTTTCTTGTTAGATGTATAGCTTACTGTTGCACAAATACAATTTTAATTCCTGGACAGGCTTTTTCCTCACTCTCTACACACTGTACAAGATGCATATTGCAATGTGGTTCGATATATTGTGTTAATGGAGAGAGGGAATGTGTGATCCTATAATTAAATATTGTATCTGAATGTAAGCACATGAGAGCTGAGCTAAAGTTGCAAATGTTAACTTTGTCATTTCGTGACTTTGAGTATCTAATTATGCAACCTTAATGTTCTCAGAATTTTTTTGTTTTTTTAGTGGATTTTCCTAGGTTTTAAAAGAAATCCTTAATCTGGAACTACTTGACTTTGTGGTTGAAACTCCTATTAACTCCAAGAGAAGGCTTGGCCTTGCACCACTGAAGTCAGTAGAAGTTTTAACACTGATTTCATTCATAGGAGGATCATGCCCACTGTGTGTATCATGTCTTATTGAGTATGTATACTGGGCCATTGATAATTGGGACTGTGGTTGTGTTGTGCCTTCTTGTTATCCAGCCTTCCTCCTGGATACTTACTAATTGTTAAAATAGCCCTGGCATTTTTGACCAAAACTTACCACTGTTCCAAACAATTTTATTGTTCTTACTTTATTATTTACATAAAAAATGCAGATTCAGGAAAGTGAGCGCATCAGGTGTTTATGTCAAGGAAATCAATCCACATAATTTAAGTTCTCTGTTTCATATTTTGGGACCATCTTTTGTAACATAGTATTTTAGGATTTTAGTTTCAGGACAGCTCTCCTTGGATATGAACCCAAATCTCAATGTGAAACTTGAACCTATGATTTAGTTCACAGGCAAGAATGCTGCCATCTTAAATATATTTGCAGAGTATAAAAAGATAGGTGAAACATTAAAGGCAGATTTTAAGACTAATTTTAAAGAAA